TGCATAAGTATAACTTATTAAAGTTTTATGTTTGAATTCGTATAACTAACTGCGGATAAACATAATCAAATAGAGGATAAACATCTTATTTTAAAATCTAAAAAATCTAAAATATAATTAGGATAATTATCGAGTTCTAACAAAATAATTAATTATTATCTTTATAAGAAAAAAATTATGCATACGTACAATTTATTAAAACTCAATGTTTGAATTCGTGTAATTAGCTGTGGATAAACATAATCAAATAGAGAATAAACATCTCATTTTAAAATCTAAAAAAATAATTAGAATAATTATCAAGTTGTAACAAAATAATTAATTATTATTTTTATAAGAAAATTATATTATTAAACCAATTATAAATTACTTCGCTATTGGACTTAATTAAGTTATAATTAAAAAAATTGAATTAAAAAATTACACAAAAAATGAGAAATTTTAAATATTTAATTTGATACTAAGACCATATTATAACATCATCGTTTTTTTTCAAAATCATATAAGACCATGTTATAACATCGACTGAGATAAAAAATAAAATAAAATATTAAAATCAAGATGTATATCGCTGCATTGCGCGAGTACCTTTTTAGTATTATAAAGTATTTGACAAGAACTCTTAAAAACCAGTTTTTATGCCTATTACTTAAAATTCAAGATTACAAGTAAACTGTGCGTAAGTACAACTTATTAAAACTTCATGTTTGAATTCGTGTAACTAAATGCAGATAAAAAGTAATCAAATAGAGGATATATATCTCATTTTAAATATAAAAAATCTAAAATACAATTATGATAGTCATTGACTTTTAACAAAATACTTAATTATTATCTTTATAAAAAAATATATTATTGAACCAAAAATTAAAATTTTATTTTAAAGAAATACAAAAAAAAAAGAGATTTTAAATAATTAGTTTGATACTAATACTAATATTTTTTTTATCAAATTTTTATGATATTTTCATATTTATATTTTATTCAAAAATAAAAACATTACCGTTTTCTAAAACCATATAAAACCATATTATAACATCGACTAAGATAAATAAAGAAATAAAATAAATCATTAAAATATAGATATATCTTGCTGCATTGTGTAAGTACCTTTCCAGTAATTAATAATAGAGAGGTAACCAAATTGTAAATAGAATCAACTATTATTAAATACTTGCATGTTTTTATATTATTTTTAAATTAATAAATTAGTTGTTTTTTTAATTATAACTGTATTTTTATTTGTTTATAATATTTTAATTTAATTATATTTAAATAAAATTATTTGTTTGAATATTTTTCTAAAACTAATGTTTCTACAACATCAAAAATGTTATATAAAATATTTTTTCATTAATTATAATATTTTAAACGAACATCATTAATGCATGTTCATTATTTTATACTTGAAGAGTATCTGTGCAATGCAGCGAGATATATCTTGATTTTAATGTTCTATTTTATTATTTGTCTCTGTCGATGTTATAATACGATTTTATGTGTTTTTAGAAGAACAATAATAATTTTGTTTTTGAATAAAATATAAATTTGAAGATATCATAAAAATTTGAAAAAAAAATATATCAATGTTAATATCAAATAAACTATTTAAAAATTCTCATTTTTTTATGTAATTTATTTACCTTTATTATAATTTAATTTAAGTTTAATAATAAAATAATTTATTTTTGGTTTAATAATATAACATTTTAAATTATATTTTAGATTTTTTTATATTTAAAATGAGATATTTATCATGTATTTGATTATGTTTATCTACAGTTAGTTACATTAATTCAGATATGAAGCTTTAATAAGTTGTACTTACGCACAATCTACTTGTAATATTGAGTTTTAAGTAATATGCATTAATAAACAATACTTTACGCATAAAAAATATTTTTAAGAGTTTTTGTCAAATACTTTATAATATAGTATAGATTGTCATTTTTATTTTTTATTTTCATTCTCATTTCTTAAATAAACCAAAACCCCTTTATAATTATAAATTCAAAAGAATTAGATATAAATTAAAAATAAATTATTTGAATTCATATTCTAGAGGTTAAGGGGCTGTTTGGCAGTTGCTGAATGATTTAGTTCAGAATAGCTAAGAGGTTAGAATGGCTAAGAGGGTCAGAATGGTTAAGTGCTGAATGAAACAAAGTTGTTTGGTAATTGTTTTCTGAATGACAGCAAAATTACCATTTTAACCCTCAAGAAATACAATCAATTCTAAACATTTTTTTAGAAAAAAAAGATGATGTTCTTCATGTTCTTCATATCAAGATCACAAATCCTCAAGAAATTGCAAAATATAGGTAATCCAATCATCATTAACATTGTTACAAACATGAAGTTAGCAATAAACACCATCAATTTTCAAAGAAAAATGCTACCCTAAACCAAACCCTAGACAGAAAAATGCTACCCTAAACCAAACCCTAGACAGAAAAATGCTACCCTAAACCAAATGCGACGGCGACGTGAGGCTGTGGAAGGCGACGTGAGGCTGTGGAAGGCGACGAGGCGACGGCGACGAAGCGGCGACGAGGCGGCGACGAAGCGGCGACGAGGCGGCGACGAAGCGGCGACGAGGCGGCGACGAAGAGGCGACCGGAGACGAGGCGATCGGGGTGCGACAATGGAAGGATGATCGGGAACCGACGATGAAAGGACGATCGGGAACCGACGATGGACGACCGACGCTCCGATTAAAGAGGATATGTGCTTCGATCGGGAATGGAAGGGGAAGAGGAATGGAAGCGAGCAGGTCTGCGTGAGTAGATGAGGGCAAAGATGGAAAAAAACAGCCCCTGAATGGTTGAGTGGAGTATAAGGGTCAAAATGGTTAAGAGGTGTTTGTAACCATTAAGAGGTGGTTTTTTTTTTGCCAAACACTTGCAACCTCTGACCGATTCAGCGATTGGCTCTTAATGTAACCATTAAGAGCTTACCAAACAGCCCCTAAATAAACACATCTTAACCACTCTTACTTTATCATGGTTGAGTTTTGGTGAGAAAATAAACTATGGTAAGAAGCGTAACAAGAAATTTTCATCTTCATAATTGAATATCAACACTAATGAGGTGTACCGATATGCACCATATGAATTCTTTTATAAAATGAATTCATGGGTGGACATGAGATTAAAAATGATCATTTGTTCAGATTTTTCCTTATTTTGCTCACCATAACTTTCTTTCTCAAACGATTCTTCGCCACTTGTTACACCATAAATATATAAACTTTAAAATGTATTACGTGATTTAATGAAAAATGTTTTATATTGATCGATATTATTAAATGTTTGTCCAGATTAACGAACGTTTCTTGACCAAAATCAAAGTTAGGAAGTTTACAACTTTTTTAAAGATTAAAAAATTATAATTGAAAGTTTATTAAATAACCACCGTTCAAAAAATAATAATTGAAATAAAAGTTGATGTAATAATAATATTATAATAATTGGATGACATTATTTATAACAAAATAACAAAAATATTTTATTTTTTTATCCAAATGTTACTATTTTCATAAGTTACCTCTCTCTAACTTGCGGACGTAGTTAAAAAAATAAAAAAAGACAATAATTTCTATACAGGTTTGTAAGTAGCACTTCTGCAATTTTTGCTCAGGACCGCAATTTAGGGAGGTGCCACTTGCGGATCTGAGCAGAAATTGCAGAGGTGCCACTTGCGAACCTTGGTACAAATTGTAATTTCTTTGTCTTTTTAGCTACATCCGCAAGTTAGGAATGTGCCACTTGCGAAGGTAGTAACATTTGGGTAAAACCGGGAGATGAATGGCTATGAGACCAGTTGATGAGAGAACAATGGCCATTGCCATTAATGTTAAGATCAAGTTAAATCATACATTAAAATGTCAAAAAAATATGTTTAGATGTTGATGTGTATGAGAAGGAAATTAATATGTATGAGTGTATAAGGATGCATTTAGCTTAAGAGGTTGTTTGACAGTTGCTGAATGGTTTGGTGGTCAGAATGATCAAGAGATTCTTCAATCTTCAAATATTCCAATGTAATCCTTGTATTTCTTGAAGGTTAACAAGAGCATTAACATCATCAAGGTCAAGTTCATCATCATCATCAAGTGTTGAGTATGTGTTGTCCGTATCGGTAGTTGTCCATCTCTAGTAATGCTGTATATTGTGTCTTTCACTGCTATCCAAACAATCTTTCAAGCGTACACAATAGTACAACACTCCATGAACTCCAAGCTAAATCTTGTCTCCACATTGAATGATCTTACCACTACGAGAAAAAACGGACTCTGAACCTACATATAGTTTGGATTGTTAGTAAATCACGGAGCAAGACAGTCAAAATTGGAAATTGTGGTTGTTTTTGTTTCCACCATTCCAATAGATCAATGTTTTCAAATTCATCAGCATTTGAAAAAGAAATAAAATTAGTATGCTTATACATATTTAGTTCACCTAAATTAGTGTCATTACAACAACTACCGCTCTCCAATCGTGATTATCTTCGTATTATACCATCGTACTTTCCGATCAATGATTGTCCCGGTTCCCGTCCCAAGCGCAGGCCAGGCCGTGTTTGGTTATCTCTAATTCTCTATGACTCCATGTCTCCATGTATGAGATTCTATTGGGCTTAAATTTGGGGCCGAGTTTCAAATCAACAAGATCATAAGAAAACAGGTCTGTTTCTTTTAAATGGATCACTAGGCCGATCCATATAGATTGAGTTGATTCAAACGCTCAGGCTCACTTGCTAAGTGAAGCAGTGACGGTGGTCGCCGGAGGACGATGAGCGCCGAAGATTTACCGAAGAAGGAGGCGAACGTCTTGAAGGGGCATGAAGGTGCAGTTTTAGTGGCCAGATTCAATGGAGATGGCAATTATTGCCTTACCGGAGGCAAAGATCGGACTATTCGCCTCTGGAATCCTCACCGGGGTATTCATATCAAGACCTACAAGTCCCACGGTCGTGAAGTTCGTGACGTCCACGTTACAACGTAAGTCATGGCTATCGTCTCTGTTTATAAATGCACGTGCAGTTTCTTCTTTGTAAACCGATGATTTTGTCCTTCGAGAACTTGTTTGTTTATTTGTAATTCTTGTTAACCCTAGCTGTAATCTAGAATAGGATATTGATTATGATTACTACAATTGTTTCCTTGAGTAGACTCAAATATGCTGCTGATATATAATTGGTGTTAACTTGGATGCTACTTAACACCCTACTTTCCACAATTAGTTCACAAAAACGGTTCAAATGTTCTTGAGTTGTAGACTCTACTTGCAAAGTTCAGGGAGTAATGGAGCATAAATTTTGTAACATGGTCATATAGGGTTTTTGGTTTAGGATTATCCAGTTCTCAATCTAGTTTTTAGATGTTGTGTTCGATTAATTCAACTGGTAAATCATCGGAAGGTGGTCTTTAAAAGAAGCTAAAGTGTTTTAAAAGAAAATTAGAAACATTGATATTGAAAATATCATCTTACAGATTTTTTGGGAGATGTAAGTTGTAAACTAGCTCCACTCTTACGAAGTTCAATAAGGGTGCTAAATAACATTTCCTGCTGTCATGAATAGGTAGATGCGGTCGGTATGTTAATCATATTATGATTCACAACTTTAGAGTAGAATCATAGTTCAATAACCTTACTAAGGCTTTCTGGAAACTGTTTGATGTGTTAAAGGGACATCTCATGAGTTTCGTAGCATGCAAATACATAACGCATCAGAGTTCAGATGAAGTTTACAAGGAGTATGAACATCAATCATTTTCTTTATACCAAAACTAGGTTTTAATTGCAAGTTCTGGGTCCTTCAATTACCATCTTTTACAATAGTCAAAACGTATCTTTTATTACCTTATTACTGGGCCCTTTGTTTATGTGGTCAGTTCTTGCTACGAGTTATTGGGCTCTTTGTTTACTGTTTTCATGCCAGTCAACTTACCTGCTGCATTGCAGAGATAATTCAAAAATCTGTTCATGTGGTGGCGATCGGCAAGTCTTCTATTGGGATGTATCAACTGGTCGTGTGATCCGAAAGTTTCGAGGCCATGACAGTGAGGTATGTAAATATGTTGGTAGTTTTACTAGCTTCTGTGGAATTAATTATGTTCAAGGGGATCTCAACTCTCAAGTAGCAACCATCGTTATATAATATCAGCATCAAACCAAATAAAACACATGTATGGCTTTAATGTTCGTTTGGCAAAATAGATAAACCAGTCAACCTTCGTTATTCTTTCAATTCAACAAACAGATTTATCAATCATATATTTATAATCTCACAGCATTTACATCATTTTTGTTGATTTATGTTAGTTTGATGATAATCGAATAGAAATGAGGTAATTGATATGATTGAGTTCGAGTATAACGCACACCAACTTTGTTGAGGAATGCAATTGGGAACTATGAGTTATCAACTCGTTGGGATGATTGCATCCAAGGTTCATAATATTAATTGTTCAATGTTATTTGAGTACACTCTTAGTGGATTCAAAGGCTTGAATTGGACTCCAAACAGATTCTCAACTGTTCTTCTGCCTGCCATATTCTGTATTTGTTAACTTTCACGTACAGAGCAACATGCTACACTTGTACATGATATTGGTATGTTGAAACCTTTGGATATATTTCCAATTTCCTGAAACACCTTGCTTCCACCAGGACATAGGTGTATAATATTATAAAGAGATAAACAAATTACATCAGATGTCTTTGATTTTGTGGTTCAAATCATTCTTTACTTCGAATTAATTTATACAAGTTATTCCGAGTTCATATTCCACCAATTGACCAGGTGAATGCTGTAAAGTTCAATGAATATGCCTCTGTAGTTGTATCAGCAGGGTATGACCGTTCCTTGCGTGCCTGGGATTGTAGATCTCACAGTACTGAGCCAATTCAGGTTTCCTTCTCTTTCCTGTAGATGTACTATGTACTAGTAGTAATAGTTAGAAGTTCAGAACAAGATCAGGGCCACTGGGGTTTTGCCTGACTTTTAATTCTAGGGCCTCATGGGACTAGTCGAGGTGCTCGCAAGCCGGCCCGGACACCCACATTTATCAAGAAAAATAGTTCAGAACAGATCTTATGTAACTTTCAGCTTAGGATGAGCTGACTGTTTTAATTGATTCGCAGATCATCGACACCTTTCTAGACAGCGTCATGTCTGTTTGTTTAACCAAAACTGAAATCATTGCTGGAAGTGTTGACGGAAGTGTGCGCACATTTGACATTCGAATGGGTAGGTATGTGCTAGTAGTCAACATGATCATGATACCCCCTTCAATGCTATTCGTTTATCCTTAATTTATTTCTGCTGGTTAAAATTTGTAGTATTTGACAAACTTTTCATTGAATTCTTGGGAAAGAGGTTTGATCCTTGTACTTGGCATCTCTGTTTTAAACCTTTTTGTATTATTTTGTTCCCTCTTCAGAGAATTATCTGATGACTTGGGGCAACCTGTCAACTGTATCTCTCTATCAAATGATGGTAATTGTGTTCTAGCCAGTTGTCTGGATTCTACTCTGCGGCTTTTGGACCGGTAAATTTGTACTTGTATTCTGTCTCTCCACATCTGATTAACTAAAATGTTGACTTGACTATACGCTGCCCGTCCTTTTGTTTGCAGAACTACCGGCGAATTACTACAAGAATATAAAGGCCATACATGCAAGGTATGATGAATGATCAAAATCGAGATGTCAGTAGTCCTTTCAGTAAGGCCAACACAACTTTTATAAAAGAACTGGTAATAGTGACTTGCTTACATATGATCAGACTACCGGTGATTGCCTTTTAGGGTATGCACCAGACTTGCGTACATGTTACTCACATCTGGGTGGGATACACCGTGCTCGTTTGTTTGGTTTGGTTATGCCATCTGCTTTCAGAAAGTTTACGTCTCTAATTTTTGCTTTGCTGATACATCTAACGATTATTGTAGAAACAAATGGCAAAATTGTATATTCCGTTTGTAGCTAATTTGGTTGCCCTGTATAGTTCTTGATGTACCTAACTTTTGGCTTTTGTTTCACCAGTCATTCAAAATGGATTGTTGTCTTACATACACAGATGCCCATATAGTTGGTGGATCGGAAGATGGGCATCTCTTTTTCTGGGATCTGGTGGATGCATCGGTGGTTTCAAGCTTCCGTGCTCACTCCTCAGTGGTAAGGCTCTCCTTTCTGTCGTATAATTCTGTATGTAATACAAGAGAAGGATCTGCAGCACTTGGAGATGCAAAAAAGGGCCCGAATCTGATCCTTAGGGTAACCAATCCTGGCTTTGACATGTAATCAAACCTAAAATGCGCCTTAACAATGCTAACTTGAACAAAAAATGTTGACCAACATGAATCTGTTAACGGGAAAATTGGTAATTTTGGATTAGAGTCTTTTTAAGAAATGCAAACACTCAAAAGCATACCGCATATATTGAAAACATCGATTGTGGCTACATTATCTTAATTCTACTTGTTGGCAGGTAACAAGCGTTAGTTATCACCCAAAAGAGAGCTGCATGATAACTGCATCTGTGGATGGATCAGTACGCGTTTGGAAAGCTTGAACCCCATAAGCGTGCCATCGAAGTGTGTTTTCTGTGCTGCTTCCATGAGAGTCATGTCATTGTTTGCGCTGGTGCTGCTGGATCCATCAGAATCAGGTGAAGAAACTTCAAGCATTTCTTTTACAGAAACAACTTTTTTGTCATCTTTCAAGGTCGAAAAGCCTATCTAACAATGCAGATAAACACCTGAACATTCTTTGATTTTAATTGGTCATGTGAATGTCGCTAGTTATGTAAAAAATATTGTTGAAAACATTTGGGTTTAATTATAAATGTATCGTAACTGTGATTCTGTAGAGTAAACGATGCACAAAAGAACCGGTTAATGTGTGCACTTGGTCTCATACTTCTTTATCTTGGTATGTGTAGGTTGTATAACCCAACTACCCTTTCAGGAAGGACCTTTTACCAATTTTCATAGACTTTTATTATGTTTTTGAAAATTTTCGAGATTAAAAGACTCGAACACAAGACCTTATATCCGCAAAACAAAGGACCAATCAACAGGCTAAAGTGGCGTTTACTAAACACTTACTTGGTAAGTGCTTAACGCATAAATTTCCTCATCGGATGAACATGAAAAGGGTCAAGAATCTTACCGGGTAAGAACGATGAGAAAGATGGAGTCTTACCGGATAAGTGATGATGACGACTTTTACCCAGGTAAGCGCTTACCTAGTAAATTGTTGCATTTTTGATGTATTAAAATCTTACGCATCTAAATAAATTATAGTGTTGACTTCTATTGATAAATGCTTACCGGGTAAGCATTTGGGTAAACGGTCCCTAAGTGATGATTTTGTAAAAGTATTTATAGTTTTCTTTCTTGTAATCAAATTGCGTTATCACTTGAAAAAATTTCTAGATTCGCCTCTACATTGTGGTTAGAGTTAGCAAAAATTAACCTCTAAAAGTATAAATTTTATTTCCACCTGCTTTCAAACGTTTGAAATCCAGCTCTGGACAGCCAGTCCTAACCAAAACACTGGCAGGGCTGTTTTGACCTATCCCACTTTTTTTGTATTCGTGTACGAACATTCTTCAAAACAGAAACAAACAACCCAAACCTAATTTACTGGTTTTACAAACATGAAATGACATCAAACGAACCGTCTGACACCCAATTTGGCGCAAAGAGAGAAACTCATACAGCCTGTCTGGCTTTAATGTCTTGAAGTCGGAGGGTTACAGCTCTCTTGTGAGCATCCAACCCTTCGACCTCAGCCATGGTTGCCACATGAGGACCAAGCTTTGCGAGCCCTTCCTCTGTCAAAGACTGGATGGTTATATACTTGAGGAAAGAGTCAAGAGACACCCCGCTGTACATCCGAGCATACCCATATGTAGGTAGGACATGGTTCGTCCCACTAGCATAGTCTCCCACACTTTCTGGAGTCCACTGTCCTAAAAATACAGACCCTGCAAAAATACAACAAAAAACGAGAACAAATTATGGAAGTTGTATACTATCTTCGGGTTGTTTTGCAGATCAACGACATAACCAATTGATAGGATTGAGGTTTTCTTATGGTATCTTTGGATTTGAAAAGCAAGAGTTATAAACTTAAAGAGTCAAAAGCAAGACATTCACCTGCATTTTCGATAAAGCTTTCCCACTTCTCCGCATCTTGAACATTAATGATCAGATGTTCGGGTGCATACAAGTTGGAAAAAGTAATTGCCTGAAAGTTGCCATTGCAGATTACGCTTGCTTACAGATTACGTTTAGAGATAGAAGTATGTATCATTTTGCATTCATAGAAGTTCCCAAAATCAGGGGCGAGTCTTAGTGCAACGAATATGGTTACTCCTTTGTAACCAGAATTTCACAATTGCAAAACTAGGGCACAAGTGTCCTGTTTTCTGGTACTCTTTTTATGTAAGTTCTAAAAATTGTATCATTATATGATACATACAAAATGCTGAAAAGAAAAACTAACCTCTACCATATCACGAGCAAACACAGTGAAGCTGTGGCTAAGAGCTTTTAAAGCAAACTCTCCTCTTGGGAGACTGTTGCATTGCTTGGTGATTTCTTCATCAATGGCTTTTATGTTTACACCATCACCTGCAATTACCAGAACCACTTGGCTATCTGGCCCATGCTCCGCCTGAAATTGGAAAAACTAGAACTTGAGGATGATGTCACACCATCATGATGTTAAATAAATGGACTAAACCATTAGAGTAAGCATTTTGGAAGGGCTTGAGGAAAAAAATAAAGACCCTTTAGTCTTTTTTTTTTTTTTTGGGGGGGTGGTTCCCAGGGGTAGCAATTATCCACTAACGGGTTTGAATGTGATTGGTGGAAATTCCTCCCATTTCAAATGTTGGAAAAGGGTTATTCATCTCTCGTATTTTCAGAAACGGGACTCTCCACAAGATGCGGTTATTGCTTTAAGTACTCTTTCAGTATTCGACCACCACACTTAACATTCATCTTGTGAGCTTGATATATGATATTGTAGCTAGAGGAAAGAGTCAGAGAAGGAATAAAGAGAAACTGATTCCATTACAGTCAGAGAATTGTTGGAACTGAAATAAACTCAAAGTAACCTGAGAAAGCAGGTCTGCAGCTATGTGAACCGGATTAGCATATTTGTCAGCAATGACAAGCACTTCTGATGGTCCTGCAGGCATGTCAATAGAAACCATAGCCTCACTATTCTGTCAAAAATACAAAAATGTATGTTTTAGATAAACTCTGTCAAAACAAGAACATTTAACAATAGCGTAAATATATCTTTTTTGTTTACGCTATGTGTATTTTCCACAAATGGGATCATGGTTGGGAGACAGACGTACTTGGAGAATCATCTTTGCAGCTGTCACATACTGATTTCCAGGACCGTATATCTTCTCAACCTAAAATTATGAAGTTTTGCAGTTAAACCACATGAAATGCAACATATATCATAAGAAATTGGCACACGTGACATAATATATCTTGTTAGTATATGGCTAGAGACAGGATCAGCACATCATGGCTACATGCATCATCAACATAAAACAGAATGTCCAGCTAGGGCCTAAAAAGGAACCTCCCAGCTAGAGACCCTTTTCCATTACAAATTGCAACTAGACTTGTACTAGCATAACCAAGGGACTTGAGTTCGCACGGGTTTCTATGGTTTTGAGACAGGGATTTGATTCTAAATTCTTGGCGGTCCCAAATGAACACATTTAGCCAATGGTCACACTGAATAGCTTTTACAGCATGGAACCATCCAAACTAACCATAAAATTCCAACCACAACAGTTTCAGATGTGATACATATATGCAACTTGGTCGCTCCAGCCCTTGCCCTCTACATAGGCAGAGATTCAAGTTCACTAGTGGAGATCAAGTCCAAAAGCAGACAACCATCTTTATGAAGGAAAGAGATACACATACATCCCCTCCCTCTCAAATTAAAGAAGCCTATACTTCTCAACTAGTTCCAACAACATTTCCAACCTATCTAAAATGTCACCCTTCAAGATAGACACAAATCAAATGACGCTGACAAAATGGTACAGAGAAAGACACCAATCTTGCAAACATAGAGTTTAGAGTACACAAAATAATGATGGATAATAACGATTAACGACGAGCAAAACAAGTATTATCTTGGCTAGACAAATAACAAATAATGTCATATTTTGATCTTCAAGAGGATGCAAAATAATGATGGAATATAACGAAAAGCAAAAGAAGTATCATCTTGGCTAGGCAAATAACAAATAATGTCATGTTTCTATCTTCAAAGATGGTACATATGAGTTTGAAATGCAAATGTCCGTCCTCCAAAGATGTAGAAGAATATCATCTATCATCTCTAACCAGGTTCTTTTGACCTGATAATCCTATCAAAATTCTAGATGCTTACATAAATGAACACCAAATTTTAGAACCTGAAGTGTTATAAACATAAGATATATCATGGTCCAAATGGCAGGACCTTGAACAAACATAATTCTTTGCGAAATTTTTTACAATATCCAATGATTAAAGTGGTACCTTAGGACATGATGCTGTTCCCCAGGCCATGGCAGAAATGGCCTACAAGAGCTAAAGATCATCAGAAATAACACTCAAAGAAAAACAAGTAACAGCAATTTCATCAAAACAAATTAAAAATGGGCTGCTATTGTTGTATAACCTGAGCTCCTCCAGCTTTAAGTATGTGGGTCACACCAGCCTTCTTTGCGCAATATAGTACCTCCTACATTAAGTCACTCTTACAATTTGTAATTAAGCTATATACCTGACCTGTAAATAATTATCTCATTCAGATGAAAACAAGTACCTTGCAGATGCTGCCATCGCTAGAAGGAGGAGTTGCAAGCACTATAGTTTTACACCCAGCAATCTGTGCTGGCTGGTGTATACAGGAAGCTAAAAGTCAACTTACACACCAACTTATATGGATATAATGATCAAGATAATTATCACTTCTTACAATTGAAAGCATGAGAGCTGTTGAAGGTAAAACCGCAGTGCCTCCTGGAACATAGAGACCAACTGAAGAAATGCTCCTTGCCACTCGTTTGCATCTCACACCCTGAAAAACTCAAACAAACAGCGTTAACTCAGAAGATCATGGACAAAAAAATTGTTCAATGTATACAACTTACTTTCATATTCTCAACAACTTTCTCAACTGGTTTTTGTGCAGCATGAAATGCATAGATGTTGCTGTATGCCACATCAAACGATTCACGAACAGCATCATCAAGCTGAAATAGGATTAAAGAGAAGTTTTCTAGATATTACATATAATTAAAGTAAAAAAAAATGAGGAAGTGTTACTATAGGCACTACTGATCTTTAGAATCTCTCTCTCTATATATATACACAACTGTGGGATAAGAGATTGCTATTAAGAAGGATGCATGCTTTGGTGTATTTGTATAATTACCTCTGGATCTGGAAGTTCATTGACATTTTCAATAATCTTTTCTAGTTCAACTTTGTCGAAGCGTAAAGTATAACTGCAAAACAATACGTAAAACATCACTTGCGTGCAAAACATAATGAACACGGATGGTTCAATCGAGAACAGTTTCAATCCCCATTGGTCAAGATGGATATACAAATACAAGATATAAGAAGCACCGACTCTTTAACAGCAGCATCGCCTCTGCTGCGAACATCATCAACAATGGGCTGGACCTGAGATTAAAAAAATATCAGTTTTCGCCATGTGTTCAAAATACCAATCAAACAATTCAACAAGAAATTATATTCAAGTTTCTAAAAGACACCTTCCCCAAGAAAAGCAGAAATGACTCACCGTACTGAAAATGGAAGAGAAATTTATTCGGGGTCGAGCCTTGAGATTGTCAACCTCAGTCCGTGTAAGGTCAGATAGCTTATACGATTTCATCGCGCATCTAACAGTGTTAGAAAGTGTTACTGCAACAAAACCAAGGTGTAAACATCTAGAAAAAAAGGGTCCACATTGATGTTGAAAAATAACAAACGGACTACATTCATGGACATCCACATTAAAATGCAGCATATATTTAGAGTTGTAAAAATGTATTCTAACTTCTTAGCCCACTCGTTTATGCAGCAAACGTCTTGTTCACGATTGTTCTTTCCATACTTTAAAGTTTAAATAGCTTCCCCTGGTTCTCTATTTTGTCAATTTCAAATAAATATCAACAAATGTTTAGACCTTGCCTTATGGTGACTGGCAAGCTCATAAGTTCTCTCTGCCAAATCTACTTATAGTATGTCAATAGTACCAACCAGCCTTGCATGTGCCAAACTCATGTATGTCATCAACTTCTAAGTCCTATCTAATAATTATATAACTTCGGAACTTTCTTCTCCCTTTTCTTTCACTTCCGCATGGAGAAGGAACACGAATATATTAATTACATCTTAGAAAGTTTTACACCAATTTCAACCAGCAAAGTAGACTTTGCTTTTAGAAATGAACAAATGTGTGAATTTAAATGGGAGTGTGGATGATAAAAACCACGGAAGAGAGTATATAGAGGATTTGAAAACCAGCAGATAAATATCAATTAGTGCAATACCAGGTACTAATAGAATGTACATAATCTTTGTAGTACCATGTGTTAGTTATACCTGGTAAAAAACCTCTGTGACCGTTAAATAATAGTTGCCTGTGAATAAGCAAAAGGAGAGGGGCTAGATTCAGGCTATTTATATAAGAACATATAAATAAGTGCCATCATTGCACAAAATTAGTGCAGCAAGCATCCAGATGATGCCTTTAAGACATGCATTTTACGTGATCTCCACACCATGTCTTACTGCACCATCTGGACAACTGCACATCAATCAAGTTTGTGAAGTTTATATTACCCAAAAGATCATCACTAATTAGAACAACAACGTTTTAGAGGCAAAGAAAACAATTTCTGGATTCATTGGCAGGAAAACATCAGCAAATGCATGAACGATAAGAAATTGACGCAAACATGAGATACCAGAAAGACAGAATGAGAGACCTGGATGATACAGCTCTGAAGGGGCCAATCGATTGGCTTAACGAACAAAAACGAGGGGAAGCAGAGCTCTGACTGAAAACCAGTTGATTGTAGGCTACAAATGACATTACCACAAGCAAATGGAATATGCTGATGGCCGAAGTATATGGTGAGAGCCTGATTATTAACGGACATAAACCCATATCTCGTAAGCATTGGTTCAAGAATACTTCCAAATCCATAAAACCTCAAATCAACAAGAAACAAGCCCATTTTGTAAGACATGGTTTTACAGCATACAATCTCAATGTTATTGATATTCAAGCATATTACAGACAAAAGAATCCAATACAAGAACAAGAAGCAGTTTATCCAAATACCCTAAAAACCCAAATTATAAGTCAATAATCAAACAAAAATTGAGCATTCAAAGAAACAAAATACAGTATGTTCTCAATCAAAATTTATAGTTATAAAAATTAAGAACTTCGGAGATTAATATAGAAAAAAAAACGTTGCAAATTCTTCTCTCTTTCTCTTGGAAGATATCACATTAGTAGACTTTAACTGAACAGCCAAGTAAAATACCGGGATTGTAGCAACAATCACCAAGTCAACTATATAAACCAAATTATCAATTAAGCAACTACTATTTCATAAACCCTAATATGCCATTGCAAAGGGGATTACTTACGATTAGCTACTGAAGTCTTGGAGAGGAAAGAAAAAGAGAGAAGATCCAGACAGAATGGTGGCCAGGTTGAGGGACAACGGCACCACTGGTAGAACTGGGACAACAGAAGACGGCCGACCTGTGGGTGTGTTGAGAATTTCGTTTGTGGCTTGATTTGCTTGTATACCCTTGTTTAAATATATTCGGGTAAATTACGTTTTTTGCCCCTATGGTGTATTACAAGTTGCAACTTTAGTCCCTGTGATTTTGAAGTTATGATTTTTGACTGTTTGGTCAGCAGTTTGTTACAATCTTTGAATGGCTCACTCCTATTTTTAAGAACGAAAACAATAATAAACTATAATTTATAACGATTAAAACAATAGTAAATTATAAATTATAATAATGAAAATTGTAATTTTAAAATACATAAACAAAAAATAATAATTTTCAACAAATGATAGGGACAAAAAATATAATTTACTCAATAGATTCCAAATAATTCAAAAGACCCCCTTATACTTTTGAACAATTGTCATAAGGAAATATTTTACAACATTAAATTTCAATTGATAACATTTCATTTGACGACACTAATGTTTTGTAGCAAGAAATGGACAAAGAACCTATAATGTGGTCAACCTGATCGAAACAAGGGCGTAGATCGATCATCGAAGACATAACAAGATTCAGATGCAATACATGAGAGCGGCACCAAAGAGAAAGAACGATAAAGAGGGTTTGACATATTGAGTATTTCGAGGCAATGAACTGGCTTTATGAAATTAGGTTAAGTAATTTAGATAAAATGATAATAAATAATTATTTATACCATATTATATCACATTTAGGTTTTACCTTTTTGAACTGTAGAAAGACGGAGTTGAGGTAAAGAAGATCATGGGGGAGGGAGAATTGGATATTTTATATATATTTATTTTTGCATGTTACTGAGGCTTCTACAAAAAACATAAAACCTGTACAATATTTTTTTTATTAACGAAATTAATAACATGAAAGAAAATGCGAAATACAAAGTGTGCATAAGTTAACAGACTAAGGGGTCGTTTACCAAATACTTACCCCATAAGTGCTCACCGGTAATATTTAACACTAATATTTACTTACTGGGTAAGATTTTAGTACACCAAAACGATATTGTATGCAATAATGTATCCGGTAAGTGTTTATCGTGGAAAAAGTGGTATATTATCACTTACCGGGTAAGAGTCTTGGTATTTGTCTCGCTCTTATCGAGTAAGTTTTTGGTCTTAGCATATTCATCAGGTAAGGTAATGTGACTTCGTAAGTGTTTACTCGGATAAGTATTTGATAAACGACCCTTAAGAGTTACTTTTGCTAGCAATGTTCAGTGTAATTATTTTAAAATAATGACTTTATTCGGATTTTGAGCAAAACATATGGACCAAAGGTGTAAATTATTACGCTGATAAATTTATTGGACACCAATATGCGATGTTGTACGACCCGACGCAGCCCGTGGGAGTACTAAACGACGTTCTACAAGGGTTGCGTTAGGTCAGACAAACGAAGACGACACAGTCGACGAAATGAGGAAATTCGATCCATGGCCAGTTTTTTTCCGGCGAGAGTTCAGCAGGAACTGGCCGTTCCTCGTTGGCTTCGCTGTCACCGGCACCATAATCACCAAGTTTTCTCTCGGTCTCACTGGTATTTGCTCTTATCTACGAATGATGAATATGTGAACGGTTTCTCTAATAATAAAGAAAGTACATATTGTGGTATAACTTTCGCACGTGTTATCTGGTAATTTTTTGATCATCTGAGTAATGAATTGATTGCAGAGGAGGACGCCAAGAACTCTACCTTTGTTCAGAGGCACAAGAAGTAAGTCAACTTCCCCCTTTGTGATCGTAGATTAAGTTCTAAGTTCCTAGATTTTTTCAGTTGAAATTTGTATCAAAATTTTAGGTTTTCATATACTCGATGTCGTGTTTAGAGTTATTGATGGGTTTGCCTCACCATGATTTGCTGTACCGAGATTTGTTACATGTACTTCATCTTAATGTTGTAATTTTCCATTCATCTATAGAAACAATGTCCACTTTACAATTGGAAAGATTGACCAAAAAATTTGCAACAATTTATAGACAACAGGATTACTCATTGTCCAGCCTTTAGAGAAGGAGAGATAATTAAGAAAATCAAAACTGTCTTACAGTTAAAACTTAAAGTACTACTCTCTTTTGGGACAAAAAGATATCATAAAGAATGGGGTGGGGGAGGAGGTTTGTATAAATAGTTTTTTTAAACCATTCAATTGCCAATGAGCTATATGTATACGGTGCATTGTGGTTATATGGAGGAATGCTCTAGAATCTAGGTATACATTGAAAGATTGTTTCCTGTAACACAAATCATTTTGAGTCATTATAAATGAATTTCCATGCTATGCATTAATGATGTCACCATAACTTGTTGCTCCTGTAATACAATTACTTTTAGGAATTCTTTGATTTTCGACTAGAGAAGATGGGCATACTAAATTTAGTTTCTATTAGAGACATGTATACAGTAAACCATGGTTTATCATCCTGTAGTTGCGTTAAGCCGACTTTCTGGACAAAATATATCCATGCAGCCATTGTTTAGTGTACAACTATTTGCTTGTGAAAAATTACCTGCTTTGACGTATTCTGTAACTTGATTAAGGCAAATGCTTGTGTTGGAAGTAGAACCAGTTTGCACTTGTTAATTTTAACTTTTTAAGTAACCGGAAAATGTTGTCATTTGGTGGCAAACAAATGTTTTTACCTTGTTCCATGAGAATACTAGTAATTATGTACACAATGGATGAACTAGATTATTTATTAGGCTATAGCTAGCACAGTTCACTCTCTATATTGAAGCTGTGATAGCAGGCTTTGCTCATATGCAGCCATAGAGAAAACAAGAGAACGATGTCAGTTTGAGATTTATAAGAAAATGTCATCAGGTGAAAGCCATATGAAATGCAATATTCATGCAAGTTGTAGCGGCAAGGAAACATTAAAAGTTACCATAGAAATGCACGATAAAAGGAGATGGGAGAAGTTGTTGATTGAGGATGCTAGCTGTAGGATCAACCATGACATGGACAAATCGTATTGGCTATTGGCAACATAAATATAAGTAAGCAATATTTGAAAGTCTCGTGAAGAAGCAGTTTCTTGGAGGGTATCAACTATCAAAATAGGATTTTCCACTTCATCTTAAAAAACAATCAAGCCTAGCTTGAAATTGTTTTTGAACATGCATTTGTCTGAGACTGAAACTAAACGGGGGTTATTTTGAGAATGGAGACCTGGGTGAGTTGATAAATGACCAACTAAGTGACCAAAGGGCCTTTGGCCCAACCGTATCCTGTAACCCAACCTTTGGTTAAGGATTCAAACCTCACCAAAGGTGAGGCGTGTGTGAGTTTCAGTTTGCCGTATATCAATATCATATACTTCAAAAAGATGACCAACTAAGTGTGTGTGTGGGCATTTGTCGTAACTGCTAATGTGTGGAATCCTTTAGGTCCCGTTTGGTTTGCTGAATGGAATGGATTTGGGGGGATTTGGATTTCAAATCCATTCCAATCCCATGTTTGGTTTGTTGGATTGTCTGGATTTGAAATCCTAGGATTTAATTGAAATCCTACAAACATAGGATTTTGAAATCCTTAGGGGGTGCTTGGGATTTCACGGCATTTCGTAGGATTGTATGCAAGAAGGTTCTAAAAATGTTAAAAACATTTGTTTTGTAATAATCGATTAATAAAATGTAATTTAATTATTTTTATAATTTTTTATAAATAATGGAATCCAATTCCATTCCAAATCCTACAAACTAAACACACCAATGATTTCAAATACATTACAATCCAAATCCCTTCACGAAATCCAAATCCCTTGAAAACAACCCTGCAAACCAAACGGACCCTTGGAGTCTTTAACTTTTTGTACGTTCAGAACACAAGTTGGTTTATTTAATTCTTCACCATGGTTGAACTATGAGGTCTGACTTGATGTTAGGGGCCGTTTACTAAACACTTAGCTTGGTAAGCACTTACCTGTTCAATTACCTTACTGGGTGAACATAACAAGGACCGAGAATCTTCCTTGGTAGAGGGAAGGCAAAGATCGAGAGTCTTACCCGGTAATTGAGGGTGATGAGTCTTACCAGGTAAGTGAGGTTGATGAGTCTTACCCGGCAAGCGCGTACCAGGTTATAAACGTTTACCATCAAATCTATTTTGATGGCCCGGAATGTAACCCCATAAGGTAAATGAAATTGGTGACACTTGCTGCTAAGCGCTTACCGATAAGTCATAAGTGTTCAGTAAACTGCCCCTAAGCCTTGAAATTTTGTGTTGTTTATCCATTGGCAGACCTTTTTAGCCTGTTGAATTAACCTTATGTTTTTTTTCCACCATGTAATGATGTAAAGGCTACCTACTGGTGTGCTTTAGCTATTTATATTATTCTCATAATCTCGTTTGTCCATCTATATATGTGATTTTGCATATTTCAGCCAACAATCATTCCTAGATTATGTCACTGTGTTATATATCTCATGTTATATACTGGTTTAAGTTGAAGATGGTTTAAGTATCGTACTTTTAATTTACAGTGACTTTGATTATGTCATTTTCAGGTGAATTCTTGGTAGTAGGCGTTCTTTTGAAAGATTTGGCGCCATTTCCTTTGCTTATTGCGCCGGTTGAAATAAGAACGAAGATGACATGGTTTGAATGTTTTTTTTTTTGTGAAATCAAGCTTATGATGCTTGATTCAACTTTCATAAAGGCGGGTTTTTTGCTTATCGAACACCTTTTGTTGCCATGTTTTGAACTTGGTTACGACTTAAGAGATGACATGTAGTACAACAAACTTATGTGCACGTTTCTGCATTTATTAAATATATAAGAATTTTGTAGTCGTTATAACTAGAATAATATATATTTTACTACAAATTTGGAAATTATAAGTAGACAGTGAAATTATACTGGGAGCTAGTCAAATAACACATTGCATGGTCATACATACTATATGAAACACATATTATTTTTAAAATGTATAATTGACTACTTGATGTATGTTATCGTTGTGACTTGCCAAATTATTCAGTAGATTTAGGGGCTGTTTACTAAACAATTGCTTGGTAAGTATTTACCAGATAAATTTCCTCATCGGATGAAGATGACAAGGACCAAGAATCTTATCGGGTAAGAGTGATGAGTAAGATGTAGAGTCTTACCCGGTAAGTGAAAATGACGACTCTTACCCAGGTAAGTGCTTACCCGGTAAATTGTTGTATTCGATACGTTTTGATGTATTAAAATCTTATGCATCAAGGTAAATTATAATGTTGACTCCTATTGGTAAACATTTACCGGATAAACAACCCCTTAATTGAGAATGAGGAGAATGTCCAAAAGAAGACTTGAAGAGGTAAATGAATAGGAAGATGGCCAAAATTGGAGGTACGATGTGATCATGAACTTTTTCAAAACCCACAAAAACGGACGAAGAAAATTAAAGAAAAAGATCGTAAAAAGAACAGAAGAAGAAAAGAGGGACCTCTGTATAAAAAGCCATAAAATTAAATTAAACCTTGGTCATTTGCTTAATTTTCTGGTGATGATTATTTTGTTGTTACACCAACTCTATTTTATATCGGGTTTCGAGATTGAATTGATACGATGTAGATTTTATCGAATGACAACACTGTTAGATTAGAGCGCAGAATCCGGTTCTACTTTTTGTTGGCATGCAAGGAGTTGGTATTTCCAGCCTGCATTTAAGTATAAAGATGAAAGCCTCCAGCACTTTATTCCAAATAGATATAGGCATGGATGTTGCATACCAACTGAAAGATCAAAACATGAAAATATGAAGGAAATTGCACAAGACATCAACTGACCACTTCACTTTGCTCAAAAATTGTCCATTATGGTGTCCTGGTGATTCCAAGCCTCTTTCGGAAATCCTCTTCCATAAGAGGAAGGCCCTCTCGCAACTTGATTGTGGGTTCCCAACCTAGCAACTCCTTTGCCTTGGTGATCACCGGCTTTCTTTGGCGAGGATCGTCTGGTGTGTTGTCCACATGTTGGATTTCCACTTTCGGGTTGATCAGCTGCATCATAAAAACCCATGTTGGTTACTAGTTTCAACAAGGAAACTAACTTCTAATATTTGCTGTTTGGCAACTAACCTCTTTCACAGTTTCCGCGAGTTCAATCATGGTGAATTCACCTGAGCAAATAGAAAGCACCGGCTAATGTTATTAACATAAATCTACAGCTGTTACCATAAAACTTATCATAATTTTTGTTAATTATTTACTTTCCTCGATAATTAATTGTTAGTTTGATAGCAAGTTCAGTAATTCGTGTTTAAATTTGCCAACTTATGGGGAAAAGTAAGATGTTAATCATGTTTATGCAATTTCGTGTTTAAATTTGCTAACTTATGGGGAAAAGTAAGATGTCAATTAGTGTTGTTAACCCAAAAATTGCCCAAGATATACATGTACAAGACGAATCATAGTAACCTGGATTTCCAATGTTGATTGGCCCTGTATTGCTTCCTTCCATAAGTCGGATAAGGCCATCAACCTGGTAAACAAGAAAAGAAGGTAGGTACTCAAAGAGGGGTAAAAGGAGGATGGACTAAGGAAAGGACCAAAACCGTCACGATCAGTATAATAAGCAGTGCAAATATATATGGATCTCATTAGATTACTTTCTAAAAGAGCGCTTGAGAAGTGAAGGGAGGTTCCACCAGATACTATAGGATATGGTCCAAGTCTAACCAATAAGAGACTCCAATATGCCCCTTCCAACGGAGGCTAGACGGGTACAAATTCTCCTAGAGTGTCGAGTCCCTATAGTGGTAGACCTTGTCTTTGTTACCATGTGAGAACATGTGGAAACCCTTCAGATAAATTTTCAAAACAGCCTTTTAAGGAGGAAATAGGGGTTCCAACATTTATTTATAGATGGTCAGAGTTCAGCCGCTATGGGATCCCAACACTTTGGCTGGAATTGCGCGATGTAAAAGGTATGTAAAAGTTGTAGCTTACCATGTCGGAGACATAACAAAAGCTCCGAGTCTGTGTTCCAGGTGATTGAATAGTTAATGGCTCATTGCTGCATTCAAGCACAATAGGCATTTGGTGAAACCATCAAAATGAACAAAACAAACCAAGGGGTTAATGAAAGATGTGAAGACGTGAAGTGGGTGATTACAAAACTAGCAGGGTGGTATAGCATGTTACCGGATTGCTTGAGCTATGAAATTGCTGACAACACGACCATCATCAATGTTCATTCTGGGTCCATATGTATTGAAGATCCTAGCAATCCTAATTTCTGTTGCAGGGACCCATATCAAATTTCATATGGCACCGGTCAACCATTGTTTATGCAATAAATTCATCATAGATCATAATGATCGACTTCTAGAATCATTCTTTACAACAAAACAAGCAATTTTGAACAGAAATCCCTTGGTACGAATTTCTGTTCTTCTTCTTTTGCATTTACATGTTTAGAGTTTGTTCAATATAGCACATGGAAAATCTTTCTTTCTTTTTTCCTGTTTTTTGCATTTATATAAGTATATAGTTTGCAAATGAAAAGACAAGTAGTATTGTTCAATAACTAAATGACTCATTTATTATATATGTATTCATTATAACAAAAGGGTGAGACAATGTTCACCTATTCCGTGTTGCCTATGATAGTCAAACATCAAAGTCTCGGCTACTCGTTTTCCCTCATCATAACAACTCCTAACTCCTGCAATACACATAAGGTAGCATACATGTGTCATCATGTATGTCCTATTGTAAATAAACTACAAGAAACCACTATAGATTAGCCATTCAGAAAATATATTTCATAACATGGTCGTCTATATCATCAAGTGTGGTGAAATTTACCAATAGGGTTGACATTTCCCCAATAGCTCTCATCCTGAGGATGCACAAGAGGATCTCCGTAAACCTCTGAAGTAGATGTCAACAATATCCTGTAAGCATAGCACCGACATTTTAGAATTTGATCTAATATATAGCAAGAGCATAAATACAAAAAGGAAGTTTCCAACCTAGCTCCAACTCGCTTGGCAAGTCCCAACATGTTCAAGGTTCCAATCACATTGGTCTTGATTGTCTGTTGCAATTTGCATACATTCATAAATCAGGGTGTGTTCATGCAGAAGTGACCCATAAGGGCCATGAAAAGAACAAAAGGAAGGAAAAGGAAGGAAAAGGAAATTTTGCATGGTCTAGAAAAAGTTTCACAATCAATACTTGAATGAAACTTAAGTCTCAATTAGAATGAGATACCTTCACAGGATTATATTTGTAAAATATTGGGGAAGCAGGGCAAGCTAGATGATATATTTGATCGACTTCAATCAACAATGGCTGTGTGACATCTGTATCATAAAAAAGGATTAAAAAACCACAATATGTGTAATGAGACCAAATTAAAGAACTAGACCAGCTGAAACACAAGTGAATGCAAACAGGATCTGCAGGTGGGAAACATGTGTTGACTGACTACATGTGAGTTACCAACTACATCAGCACCGGATGTTTTGGACATAAAGCCGTGAAAAAGGGCTCACAGGTGTGTGTTGTGTGTTGCAGTGGCATAAAAGATGCAAGATAAAGTAAGATCATCTTGAAATTTCGCATAATTGAAACTTTTGATTATAGTGCTTATCACAAACAAACTTGATGTTTCGTGGATTGAAGTTTGGCTTTGCCTTCACATGTGGGTGTGAAAAGCAAACTAGGATCACAGTAAACATTAGATGATTATAACTAACTCACAACTACAAATGGTCAATATGTCACCATTTGGCCACTCTTAAGGATACTTTCTGGATACAATTTTTTTTTAAAGAACTTCAGTTACCAACTATATATAAAGACTGGTTGCTTCTAGATTTAGCTCTTATAAGTCATGAAAGAGGTTCACAAGTAAACAACATCAGTTGGTGGTATTCAGGAAAAGGTACTACCATCAAACAAGAAAGGGAAAAAGAGGGTTTGAACATGTGACTTCAAGGTATTACCACATAGGGTACAGACCAAATACCCACCAACTAAATGCTCGATGGCATCACATTGACCCATTTATCACTTTCTCTTGTATTAGGAAACATAGATAGATTGATTATCACTGCCCACACAGGCAAATTAGACACCCTGCTTGGTAAAATTGCAGGATAGACAAGTAACATAACTGGTGAAAATAGATGGTTTCAGTGATAATACAGTCATATTAAGCAATGTCCTAGAGTTGAAAGAAACTGTAAATTATCATAATTGACAATCAAATAGTATGATTAGAATCCATGAAACTAAAAGACCTTGTAGCAATCTTGCAAAATCAGAACACATACCATGACGAATAAGCTCAAATCTTGGGTGACCAAACCATTGTTTAAGGTTATCTTTTGATCCAGTAAAGTAATTATCCACAACTACCACCTGTGTAGAATCTCTGAGTACCCAAATGATGGCAATTTCACCAAAACCTTATACTTGTTTAAAGAATGTGTACCTCATTTTTTTCATTTTGCATCAATCTATCCACTAGATGAGAGCCAATGAAACCAGCTCCTCCAGTAACCAATATTCTCATGTTGGCCTGACAATATTAGAATCAGATAGAATTCAGCTTCAAGTGACTATAATTTCAACAAATAACACACAAAATGATGATCGTCACCCTTAAAGTTGGGGACAAGAGGAGAATACCCATCCAACATTCCCTTCCTTGTGACTGTGTATCATCATCCATCCAACTCAAAACCAATATCAAGATTGTTCACAATTTCAATGAATCCTTATAACATCATTTGCAATTAGCATCTTCTAAGAGAAATATAGCCTAAAAATCAAGACCCATTGAAGTTATACCTGGAAAAACTTGGCATTACGTAAAGGAGATGGATTCGGAGGTGGTTTTGTAGTAGCATAGCTGTTTCCATTTGTAGCCATCCTCTTCGGATCCCTTATTCACACTACACAAGGCACAAGCCATCAACACACACCCCATACGAAATTTTTCAAAACATAAAAGAAGAACTCTTAACGATCTCAACAAAAACCAACAACAAAGATGCAGATTCCAGTTACCTAATTGCTTATCAACTCTTTATCACCTGAATGTTCTATTCAGCCGTGTGCTCAATTTGTAAATGCGACAACTTCTAATATATAGCCGATCAGACGAAATACAAATATAACATTACAAAAAAAACACATCAAACTTTCGCTACCAACTAGAGAGAGAATCAATCTTCGAAATCACGAAAGCTAAACAACAATCATGAAAGCTAAGCTGTAGCGAAGATGTGGAGCACCACAACTAACGTTTTTCAGATCTGAATCGGATCAATTATTAATCAAATAGAAACATCAGAACGAACTGAAAATTTACATTAAACTGAAAATCGAAAATATACCAGAAGTGTTGGGCAAATTCTTCGGAGTTTGCTCACAAAACCGTGAGCCGCTGGTCGACCTACAGAGAGAGAGAGAGACATGCATTTGTAACTATATGCAGATCCAACGACTACGAAAGTGGGTCCACTTCAATAAGCGAAAGATCAGACGTTGGTTTAACACGAAATCGGGCGCGTTGCAAGGAAGCAAGGAGATTGGATGGATGTAGGTGAACTAATATGGTGTCGTTATAGGGGATTAGAAAATCCCAATAAATAGTCTTTTGAAAGAACACATTATAAAATTTGAGGATTTATATTTATACCCCATTTAATGTCAAAATCAGATAATTTATTAATGAGAATGTTAAAAATGAGTTTTAATGTTGAGGTATGTAAGAAGAAGGGTAGGGATGCATTTAGCAACGTACAAGATTGCAATTAGTCTCCCCTAAAAAATGGGGAGACTAATTGCACTCCTATTATTAAGGGGTTGTTCGGTTCGTTTTTATTAATACATCAGTCAATCAATAGATTCTCGAAAGAAAATGAAGGTGGTAGTTATGGTTTAACATACATAAACACATACTAAGTCAATGAATGGATTCTCGACCTTTCTAGATTGATCTCGTTGGGTTTTCGATCGGTCTTGATAGGCTTTCGCTTGGTCTTGAAGGAAACTTCTCATTATTTTTCTTTCCATTTCCTTTCCTTTGTTTCTTAAAAAGGTTTCGAGGACACGAGTTTTTTTTTTTTTTTTACTTTCCTTCATTTTCCCTCGCTTTCTTTTTTTCCTTATCTTGACAAAAAAGGTTTCAAGAACACAATGTTAGGTTTAACGAGGTGTTCAACGCCAATACACTAATAATTTTTATTAGAGTAAATTACTTTTTTTGTCCCCGAAATTTGCTACATATTGCCAATTTTGTCCCTGTGGTTTCAAATGTGTTATTATCTTTGTGGTTTCCATTTTGGTCCATGATGCTAACAACGTTTGAAAAATCCGTTAAGTCAGGTTCATTTGGTCTTTTTCGGTCAAAATATTTTAATGTACACGTACAACAAATTAAAGCATTTATACGGGAAAAATAACTAACCTAACCTAACATACCCTCTCCCGCAATCAAGTGACTCCCCCCACCGCTCCCATCTTCCTCCCTATCCTCATCTACTTGACGGCTGCACCGTCTCCTTCCTCCACCCTTTTTCCTGGCAAACCCTTTCAAAACATCCCCACGTTTGATCGCACTAGCAACATCTTCTTCCCTTTTTCCTCCCTACTTCCATGACAACACCCCTTGCCATATCGCAAACCATCGGTTATGAACACCTCTTCTCTGCATCGGCAACTGTCAACAACTACGTTCTTGATACGTAATCTTATGTGTGAGACCAAACAAAACGCTAGAAGGAAGTTTTCCCAGATGACCTAAAGGAATCTTTAACTCTTTAAGTTTGCAGGATAATATATACGAAAAACAAGAGCTTGGTGATTTTCATGTGCAAAAACATACTTGGACATGTACTCAAGGACTTATTGTTTGAAGTAAATGCTCGTTTAACAAAAAGAAAGAGATATTAGAAAAGGTGTCATGATTATTAGAACTTTAAAACCAATCAAAAGATATTTCATTCGGAAGAGTGCAGAGTGCAACTGTTCTAAAGAATGTTCTTTCTCCAAACATACAAAATTCTTAGTCTTAACAAGTGCAATAATCTTCGGTTGCAAAACCAAATGTTGGAAGCGGATATTTTTTAACGTCATTAGTCTTGAGGTCAAAAAAAGAAACAAAATGGGAAACCATAGAGAAAATATTATCAAAATTTATACCATACGTACATAATTTCTAACAAGACAGAAGGATAACGAAAACAGTATCTTACGCAACAATTTATTCGGTAAACGCTAACCGTGGTAAGACTCTCGGTCCTTGTCTTCGCTCTTACCGTTAAAATTCTTGATCCTTGTCATATGCATCCGATAAGGTAATGTAACTTGGTAAACGCTTATCCAGATAAGCGTTTAGTAAACAGTCCCTTACTTTTTGTTATTAAAACAAAAATACTTAATTTATATCGAAAGTATTTTGGAATCATAATGGAATTAAAACTTATAATAACATAGTCTTTAAATACCAAGGTTATATCTATACTATATTATAAAGCATTTGAAAAAAATTCTTAAAAATCATTTTTATGCATAAAGTACTGTTTATTTATTGATGCATATTACTTAAAATTCGAAATTACAAGTAATTGTGCATAAGTACAACTTACTAAAGCTTCATATTTGAAATTGTGTAACTAACTACAGATAAACATAATCAAATAGAGGATAAAATCTCATTTTAAATATAAAAAATCTAAAATATAATTAGGATAATCGTTGAGTTTTAAAAAAATACTTAATTATTATCTTTATAAAAAATTACATTATTAAACCAAAAATAAAAGAATGAATTAACGAAATATACAAAAAAAAAAAAAATTTAAATAGTTAGTTTGATACTAATATCATTATTTATTTTTTCAATTTTTTATGATTTTTTCATAATTTATATGAAATTGTGTAACTAACTACAGATAAACATAATCAAATAGATGATAAAATCTCATTTTAAATATAAAAAATCTAAAATATAATTAGAATAATCGTCGAGTTCTAAAAAAATACTTAATTATTATCTTTATAAAAAATTACATTATTAAACCAAAAATAAAAGAATGAATTAACGAAATATACAAGAAACAAGAAATTTTAAATAGTTAGTTTGATACTAATATCATTATTTATTTTCAATKTTTTATGATTTTTTCATAATTTATATTTTATTCAAAAATAAAAACATCGTTTTTTCAAAACCACTTAAAACCGTATTATAATATCGACTGAGACAAAAATAAATAAAACGAAACATTAAAATCAAGATGTATTTCGCTGTATTATATGAGTATTCTTCTGATAAACAATAAACCACAAGGACTAAACCTGTAGTTTACTTTATATTTGCTTAGGTTATTAATTTAATTGAGTTGGAAGTGTGAAGTTGAAATATAAAAAGTAGGTTTAAACCGGGTTACCCGTCTATAACCCCTGTATGATGTTTTGATCGTTTGGTTTGGACTCTGGCTTCTTTGAACGGCGCTTCAGTTGAGCGACTTCTGTCAATCGTTTGCAGTTTCCTTTCCGTTCATCTTGATCAAGCATCTAATAAGGTATGTGTTTTCTTCCCGTTATGAGTATTTGTCGTAATTCTTAGTTTTTGGTATTTTAATCTGAGGATAGATAGGCGTTTTTCATGAACGATTCGAGATCCGATCTCGTTAATAAGGTGTAGATCGTACTTGATCCGTTTTTTCCCGATATTTTCTAAACCAACTTGATTTGAAATTGATTTTGTTAATATCTGCACTTTTGGTTTCCAAATCACAAAATTCGAAACTTTGTATCTGTGTGTGTCAGAGCGATTGTTGTTTATTTTGAAAGATGTGAAATCATACACAAACAGATTTCAGTATTGATTTTGTTAACATCTGCTCATCTAGTTCCGAGATCTCAAAATTTGAAATCCGGAACTCTTTGTTGTTGTGATTGATTTGGGAAATAATGTAGAGTGATACATAATGTAGAATGATACATAAACTGATCGCATAGCGGAGTGGATATCGCGTTAGACTCCGAATCTAAAGGTCGTGGGTTCGAATCCCACTGCGATCGTACCCCATCTTTTTGTTTTTGCCCTTATTCCTATCTTGTTTGCTTCAGAATATTGTTTTTACTTCCCCTTGTCTTCTTTTCCTCTGATTTTCTCCACCAGATGGTGTATTTTAGGGTTTTTGAATTGGAGTTCTAGCAAAATGATTCACACTTTAAACCATGAAGTTATAGTTCCTGAATATAAAGTTGATGAGAATGTTCTATTTGATGTATTATCTTTCCATAATTTCATATAACTTCAGTTACTGTAGCAAATGGCAGTCCTTAAATATCTTGATCTAAATAATAAAATTAGCTCAAATTGATTTCTAGTTTTTAGAGAGTCTTGTTAGTCGAAGGTTCTTTTCGCCAGATGGTGGGTTTTAGGTTGTAAATTAGAGTTCGAGCTATATTTCTGTATGCTTTAAAGTGCTTATTAACTTATTTCGATGTGGTACTGGTAATAAGGAGTTTTTTCGTTGCCAACGACCGGCTACCCCTTTCGAGCTCAGCTGACCCCTTCTTGATTCCGTTTTTTCCCCAAACCCTAGAAGGCAAAGGCTGAGAGACATCCATCTCAACTAGTTGGATGGAGAAAAAAGAAAAATGCTTATACCGGTTTTGGCACCGGTAATAAGGAGTTTTTAGTGTTCGGATGGAAAAAGAAAAAGGTATCTCATCTATTTTATCAGCTTATCCGGTGTGATACCGTCATAAGCTAATCTAAACACTTTTTATAAAACTCCAATTTACCATCATATAAGTTGATATACACTTTTACGAGAAAAAAAACATAAATTGTTTTAAATAAGCAAATCCCAAAACACCCCTAAACTGGGTTCTTTCAATTCATAAACCTTAAACTAGATGAGGATGGACTATTTGATGTGTTATCTTCCCATACCCACTTTATAACCTTGGTGGTTGTTGTAAATGCCAACCCTTAAAATTATTGACCTGAATAAGAATATTGGTTTGTTGTTGTAACTTGTAAATGCCAACCCTCATTTATCATACATTAAAAAAATATCATTAAAAAAGCGTGAGCTGTTATTAAAACATTATAAAGTTGATGATTCCCACCAAGAATTTGATCGTCGCGTCGTGCTAATTCCATACGAATCAATACTAATAGTCGTCAAGGTTTTCTCAATAGTTTACTTTCATCTCATAAAGTAAACGTAGTCTGATTTTTTATGAGATGCTATGGTATTTATAGAAGAAAGATCAAGGACCAACTTTCAACTTTCTCAAAATCAACAGTAGAAGGCATTATGGGACTATTTTATAAATTTAAAATTAAATGTCACAACACAATGACTAGAAAAGTCAAATATTTCTATTTGGCAACCATGATTCTGAAAACCAAACAAAATCAAATTGATGGAGTGATGGGAAAATACATTCGATTGTTTTGTTCAACATTTGATAGAGTGAATGCACTTGTATTCTGCCCTTTTCTGTTGCGAGTGTTTGCTTCAAAGTTAATGGTGTACTAAGTACTGGATTTTTGTGGCTGTGCTCTTGCAGATGATCACCGATGATGATTTGGGATTCATTGCCAACTTTCTTGGCATATTCATTTTCGCCCTTGTAATTGCTTATCATTATGTACTGGCCGACCCCAAGTATGAAGCGAACTAACAAACCGCAATGGGATATCAAACATAGTAGTAGAAGAGTGTTATAAGAGGATCATGAATGTATGATATTGGGAATGTGCAATTCTGATGAATGAAATTTTGGTTATTCTGTTTCTTAATCGGTAGAAATTATGTTTATGCTTTTATTCGGAAGAAAATATTATAGCCACCCAAATGGTTTCGAGATATAAAATGCTTGTTGATAAGCCAGCAAGCAGAGACAAAAGGTTGTACAAAACCAAAAAAACTCTGTTAAACCAATATGTTAAATATGTCCGATGATCATAACAAGCATTTGCCAAAAAACAGTGGTTTCAAGAATCACTTGTGTTAGGGAACAGGAGCTGGTGATAATAAGCTGCTAAAAAGAAAACACCAAACACCCACAACAGCAATGCGGCCGCAGCAGCTATCTTTACGTGCTCCCAGTTTATATCTAAGCTACTACTACCAACATAAACCTCAGTAGATGCAACGTTTGTTCTTTCGACAACTGTCTCTACCTCATTTGCACATTTAGAGCAACAACAGTTGCCACCAAGAAAGGTTGGGAATTCTTCAAAGTATCTCGAAAGAACCTGTTGGTAGTCTTCTCCAGCAACCGTTAACTTTTGCTGGGTTCTAGGCTTCAAAACCTGCATGATTAACAATAACTCACCATTTCAAGATTTCACTAGCAATAAACAAGTTGGAGACTGGAGGTAGAATTTTATATCCTAATAAGTAAATTATTTTAGTTTAAAAAATCATCATACAGGGTAACGTTTCAATTTTCACAAGATTATTTGTCACAACTTTCATGTTAAGTCCCATTAACAACATCTCCAATGCAATGTTCTTATAAGTAAAAAGTGTAGATTCTTATAAGAACCTCACCTTCTTTGAATAGTACAAGAACTTTGGTTCTTACCTTGAAGTTGGTGTAAAGCGACAATTTGCTAATTTTTTAATATATTCTCTTTACTTTTATATATTAATTAATATGTATCAATTTGTATTACTTATATTATATACATGAGACCCATAAAAATGGTAGTTCTTATAAGAACCTCTATTAGAGATGCTCTTATGACAACCAAATATATGTTTGACATATTATTGTATTTAGGTTCCCAAGATTCTTTATTTCTGCTTATTAAGATGGATTTTAGATATTTTGTTAACAGCCGAATATTTTACTTGAACTTTATCAAAATCAAGCATGGGTGATTTACATGGAAGTACCGAATAATTAAAGACATGCACATGGGTAAAATGACTGCAAACAAAGATAGTGACATGGAAGAAACACTAAAAAGAGAAAAGCTTACTTGAAATAAAGTTTGTGTTATCACTCGGGCAACGGACGGAAGTCGTACAACAAGTAAACACCCAAGCCGATTTGGGTAATGATCTTGAAGAAGTACCACACATGATCTAAATGTCTGTACAGGGAATCCAAAGGGTGATAATCCCTCACAATCCATCAAGACAATAAGCTGAGGATGCTCCACATCAAGCAAGTTTAGAACTCCATATTCTACCTGGGAAACTGAAACATAAAGTTATGGTTTCATACATTTTATTAAGCATCAATATTCTAAGAAATTAAAGAAGAGGAACGAAAGCCAATGCAAGTAACAGAATAGACAAACTCCACTAAACTGCACCAAACATAGGTTTCTAATCATACCAGACTACACTAAAACACATGTTCCATTTTCAAAATATATCACCTATTTCAAGAAGCCTATTAATAGGATGTAATTTAGACCCATCATAGTCTCGTTCTAGAATTGGGGCTTTTGCTTTTTAGCAGTCTAAAGAGAAGATCAAGATCCTCACTGAAGAATGGAGCTCTTCAAGCTGTTTAAATGCCCAAGGCAAGAATCTGCCACCACAGTATGAATGTTCAAAGGAAGAAAGAATGACAGCCATCTTGAATATCAACACCAATCGTAGAAAAAACAAACATGTTCTCATTTCTGGACATTTTTTTAAGACGAGATCAAGATAGGCAGAGTCAAGTGTGGATCCAATGTTTGGCAGACTTCTGAACAGAGTGAACGCCATCATATTCCAAACAGCAGGGTTATACTTCAGCATTTAACGTCTTGCTGCTTTATTATGATAATCACCATGTAACATTCAAAATAAAATGAAAAAAACCCACTCAACTCGCACAATTTCGCATTGTCATTAATGGCACATACCAGATAGTAACATGATGTGTCCATCAAATCATCATATCACATGTAAAATGAGGAAAAGAACTCAACTGAAATCACTCATCTTTTACATGAAATTATAGTGTTAAATATGCTAATAGCCATGCCCGTTGGCCGGATGGCCTAAAATCTGTCTGATCCTTGTGAGGCAAGTACTCTGTAAGGACCTGTCGACTAGTCAGGACAAAAATACCAGATACCATGGCATTAAAAAGACGTTTTCGTACTTAAGTTAGTAGTAGCTCAGTGTATCCATCAAGACCCTCTAAGTAGATTGCATTTTGTTTATTTGACAAAGGCAACTAAAGAAAGACTCACATCAAAGATTTCAATTCTTATAATATGTCCTGTGAATTCCCGTTGCATCAAAAATCTGATGGTGCTTGATTGTTTACTCTACAAAATCAAGTCAAACAAAACAACTAAATATAGGGTGTAAAAAATCAATGATAATTTGGACACACCGACTTCTTATAAAATCTCATTGAAAGCCTCTACCTGTGTCCTAGCCTGTCGAAGAGATAGATATGCTTCGCCAGATCATTGACATAAGGTGTATGTTTATCAAGTCTTTTATCATTATAAGCACAAGCTGGAAGCTTCTTCAAATGAAAACCTAAGTTCTCTAGACTAAGGGCAAATGGGCAACAAAACAAGCTCAGTTCTACAGATAAAGCAAGGGAGGTTGAGAAAAACATGTTCTGCCATATTGATCACCTAACCACACAGCAAAGCAATAAAGATAAATTAATAATTACTCGTAATTATGCTTAATACTCCACGCAACCTGAGAACACAAACATAGAAAAGTAACGAGGAAGAACTACATACCAACTGCTCTAACAAACTGTGCTCGACCATTTGAAACCAAACTAGAGCCTGCAAGTCCAACACGTATTATGAGGCAAGGTCGTTGCATCACATCAGATCCATGCCAAAAGACCAAGTTGGCCCAAGCCTCAAGTTCTTGTGGTGAAAGAAGAGTGTATTTCTGCCTCCATCGAATGGTCTTCTTAACTGATGATAAAAACCTTGCAAAGTCACCATCGGAGACAGCGTAAAATCTACGAAGCTCCTCCTCATTAATCCTGGAACAATCTTCCAATTTATGTTAATAAGCATCACACATGCAAGAGTATGGAACATAATCGACCTTGACATTCTCTTATTTAATTGTATAATTATACGGATCTAAAATACATTACGAGATATAACATGGATTCTTTTTAACTTCGTTGAGATTGTAGGAATACAGGTCATAATGTGAAAAATGAGAGAAAGAAGACAACAACAAAAGGAATAAAGGCCACAGGACTATGTCCATATCAGCATAGCCCTATGCTAGAAGCTGTAGAGGTGATTTACTGGTTGTTGACAACGATCCCATGAATATAAGCAGCTAGTCGTGTCGAGTACTCCCGCATAGAGATGCAGCGGTTTGTTTGGTCAATAGTTTAGTTTTAGTTCATGTCCAATCAGGGAATCAGATAATGTAATGTAACAGATTATGATCTTGGATATATGTGTGTGTCTGTTTGTTTGTTCTGTCCGTTGGTTGATTTGTAGAAAGACTTGTTCATTGCTTGCCTTATATATGTAAGACATGTCATTGGCTATCTTACCACCTACGCTGAGCCCACGTAGTTTAAGGGTTTAGAGGGTGAAGTTGAGATTGATGACCTATGCCTAGGATGTGTGGCCAAAGATTTCACAAATTAGCCGGTTGGTGGTTATCCTCAACTTTGATGCAAACACTGATTAAGTAACTTTAACCATGTATTTAAACTCCAGGAGGTGATCCCTTTTTCTCAAAGTAATATCAGTTTTTTCTTCCATTCTGTTCACATAGAGTAGTCACACAATGTTGCACTGTGGTGTCCGTATTCATCTGTCATTAATTAGTTGTTTGGTCAAAAGAACCAAATTGGTTTACTTACTTACATGTACATCTAGCATGACTGCATGACCATAGTCTTGATAACCAACAGAGAGAACATTGCTTACTGTTGTCTAAGGACTAAACATTGATTTATAGATATACCATCAAGAATTGTGGTACTACAACGCTATTGTGTGAAAACTAGAACACAGTTATATATTATGAGAAGCTAATCGATCTATTCTACAGGACAAACCGTGTGTCACATCATGGGACAAAAACAAGATTGCAGTCATATATCCTATAAAATAAGTAAGTGATAGTACCTCTCTGGTATAGTAATACCCTGCTGATCAAGCTCTGCATAGAGTTCCACTAACCAATCTTCCATAGTAACACTTCTCGGAACCTTGTTGACGGGCCTGCATAACTCGAAATTTCAGATACGGTAGGTTTGAAAGTACGAAGTTGGCAGAATAAGCAGCTAGAATCTAGCCACAGCAGCATAAGTCAAATCCATATAGTGAGATTAGAGAGGCAATGAGCAAAACAGTTACTCATGGTATAAGGTCTGCCTGAAGTTGAGATTAAGCTAAACTTCATCCCAGCGGCTATTGATTGTGGAGAGTTAACAACGAGTAAATTATTGACATCTTCCAACCATCCTAATCATGGAAACTACATAGTTCATTCATTCCTTGTTTTCCTTTCTTGATCAATTAGCAAAAATACTGATCTATCAACAAAGAGAAAAATCAGGGAGAATTCTCACTAGGTTTCCATATTTAAGTCCTGCACAGGCAGTATTTAGCTTCCTCCTGTAACAAATACTATAAGCAGCATCAGCTCTATAAGCATCAGACCAGTGAGGTCAAGGGGATTTTAAACCTTTTAATAAACGATGCCGCAAAGCCTCTGTCAAGATTTGCATATCCTTGTCAAACTTAAGCTTATTCCCAATCTAATTTTCTTTTAACCACAACACATATCACATACAAATCAAAATTCTGCGAACATCAGACTACACAAAAATTTGATCTACCTGTGCCTCATATTTACTACCAAACTAATTAATCTGGTTTAGTTTTTAGAAACTAGAATCTTAAAAAAGCAAGAATTACACACCCTCTGCCTTGGGTGGACAATTGTGTAGATAGTTCTGTTAGATCAGCACTCAAACCACTAAGCGTTCCTTTTGAGGAGCTTGATTCATCAAAGAAACCAGTTGCCACTGAGAGGAACATCAATGGCCTTGACAAAGTCTGGCAGAAGAGATAAAAGTATCAGATATTGTGAAGAACTTAACATGAATAAAAGACGGATAAACAAACCGCATAACATGAGAGGACGCAGATTTAGGGTCCTCGTTGCCATGATGACCACAAATGCAACATCTTCACAACTTTGTATGGTTAAATTCGAGTTAAACACAAGAGTTAAATGACACCAACCGATATTAGAAGATGCAAAAATCATATGTTTTCAGATTGATGGTATGACGAAGCAGAAATGTAAAGCCAACCTGCATTCCTTTAACCAAACCACTGAAAGGAGCCCATTTTTGGATCCATTTAAATGGTGGGAAGCAGAGAACTTGAAGCGCCTGAAGCCCACGCCAAATAAATGGACAGTTGGCCGAAGAGAACCTGCGGACCATCTCTAGTACTGCAGTTGTCAAAAGAAAGACTATGATTTCCCCAGCACCACCAGTGGCCACCATACTAACTTTCATTGGAGTAACACATTTAAGCGTCTTCTTTGAAGATCTGTTTGCAATTGAAATAAGTAAACGACTTTTAGGTAGATCTTGAGTAGCAGTAATTCTCAGCTCCAACTTCTTATTTGATTGGAAAAGGCGTAAAGTCTCCCCCATCACATCACATCACATCCTTTCTCCTGAGAATCTGCATGGACTGTTAAATTAACCAAGTGCTACAAAGTAAAGCATTTACACAGGTTTCCCCCACCTTCAAATCAAACACCAATCAGCCAATCATATTTATTTCGAAAACAATATAACTACATGTTAACACAACCAAACTTAGTGATCAATCGATCCAATGTCTGTCTTACAAGGAACTGCAATATGAGCTGTTGTAAAATTCACAGACAAAAAATATGTTGGGTCAAATATCCCACTGCAAAAAAAAAAATCAGATTGCCTTTAATGGTTAAACCCTCATAAAGAGGCAATAACGACAGAAAGTTGAGTTGCGGCAAACTTTTGAAACACCCCTAGCTTAATCGGACAGCAAAGTTACTAATTTAACTACATTGATGCCCAACAATGCCAACTTGCCAAGTAACAAAATAATTCGCCATCAGATATATTAATCGATAGTGTACATTCTTCACCCTAGATTAAATTAATGATGTAAGTTCTACTTGTCATAATGCATGAGTTAAGTTCCCTTTAGAATATAAACACCCTGGCATCATTTGCTTCATAGATTCCAATTCTAACAGATATTCAGTCACAATACTACATTCTTTTATCAAAAAAATGTTTCTTAATCATTCACTTTTGCTTAACTAAAAAAGTGAACTTATCATATCTCACCAAAGATATACTGGCTTTTACCTAACATATTCTTAAAGATATATCATAATGAAAACTATAATACATCAAAAAAAGCATTTAAAAAATCACTTACTTAGGAAACTAGGAACAACATTCATCGAAATCACAAATAAAAGTTGCATCAAGAACAAACCAAATCAGATCAAATCATGACTCTTTGCTTTTTGTAGCCCATATAACGATCTGAAACATATTCAATTCAAAACAATAACTGTGAAAAATATTCTATCCCGAACTACCCCACTGGTTTCAATCAAGAGAGTCCATTTTGCAACTCACGATTTAACAATTTCAACCAACCTCAAATTTATAGATTCGGGAGAGTGAATTCCGATTGACGGGATAGTTATTCATACAACAACGCACATCATGATTAATAATGATGTAAAAAACCAACATCCATATAATCAATCGAGATTTGAAGCGTAAAAACAACACACTATTCGATTGCGCTTTGAAGATACTGAATAATAAGAAGAAAACACAAATCCATATTATCAACAAGTAGTCGATTATACCTTACGGAATTCATAAGAAACAGCACCACGTTACCTCGGAAGTACTTTCTCTTCAACGCCGGTGGCGCGGTATCCTTTAGTCGGACATGATGATGACTCGTTTGAGAGAACCGTATCGACGTCGGTATTTATTGGGATCCGACAAGCTTTCCGAACCGTGGTCCGGGTCGAATCTTCTAGTTTATTACACCAGTTTGGTTACACGTTTATTTCTGTTTATTATTTTTTACTACAATTGATTAGCAAATAAAATATGGTTACAAATAGTTGTACGGAATCGTTACGATATGAACCAATTGCAGACGAATTTGTGAAAGCAATATGATATAAAAGAATGTTTGAACAAATTATAGATAAAACAAAATGTATAATCACATATTTACAATAAAATCTTATCATTTTTTCAAAACCAAATAAAACTGTATTATATCGACATAAAAAAACAAAACAAAACATTGAAATGTATTTCGCTACATTGTGTGTATACCCTTTTAGTGGTTCCAAATAAATAATAAAACAACCTAAATATGCAACATATGGATCGAACTCAACCAATGTCCAATTGAAAATTTGCACATACAAGATTTATCAAACAAAATGAATCCACTATAAAACGTACATAGCATTATCAATGTCATTGTCGACAGATAAAATGATAGATTGGGTAAGTTCAATCAGACCCCTTTTACATATATAGTGTAAATTTATTGTGTGTCACCGTGTATATTTTGAAACTACATTAGGGACATAAGTTTCTTTTTGTGAAGTTGGTTTGCAAAGCTTTTCTTCCATCCCAAATCGGACTTCGAATCCCTTTAGGTCCCGTTTGGTTTGAAGGAATGGAATGGATTTGGGGGGGATTTGCATTTCATATCTATCTCAATCCCATGTTTGGTTTGTTAGATTGTCCATATTTGAAATAGTAGGATTTAATTAAAATCCTTCAAACATAAGATTTTGAAATCCTTAGGGAGTGCTCATGATTTCACGGGATTTCATAAGATTGTATGTAATAAGGTTTTAAAAATGTTAAAAACATTTGTTTTGTAATAATTAATTAATATAATGTAATTCAATTATTTTTATAATTATTTATAATTTATTCTATAAATTATTTATAATGAAATCCAATTTCATTCCAAATCCTACGAACAAAATACACCAATGGTTTCAAATTCGTTCCAATCCAAATCCCTCCAAATCCAAACCCTTTCATGAAATCCAAATCTCTAAAAAACAATCATGCAAACCAAATGGACACTTAGTGTCATTTTTTTTTGCAATAAAAGATTGAACACATGATCTCACATATGAAAAACAATGAACTAACCATTAGACTAATAATTGTTTTGTGAAAAATCCTTATACTTGTTTTTTTATAGTCAAATGGTATCACCGTTTGAATTTTTTTGGATTCGTCTCTGCTAATATAGTCAAGTGAATTGCAAGATGGCTTCGCTAACTATACGGATTTTGTGAGCTAGCCATGTGCCAAACCAAGGGCATGCCACGTGCTTTTTGTTTACCGGACAATTGAAAACACAAAAGCCCAGTCCGAGCTCACAAACATGAGTTTGAGTTCACATAACATTTGTATGACTTCATAGAACAAGAGAAGCTCGGTACTTTGGTTGTTATCTCCTTACAAAATATGAATTTATAGCGTAGATGAAGCTTGGTTGGTTTCCTTGATGATATGTCATTTTCGAGTCCAAATGACATCGTTTCCTTGCATCTTCATCGAGACAAATTGTGTGTTCGATAAATTACAAAACAAGTTACATTTTACATACCATCAGAGCATCAATGCTAATATTGTCGAGGGAGACGTAAGAAACAACGGATAAGTCCTTGTACCTTATGCATTATTTTTTTTAAAGGATCAAGAAATACTCATAGTAACGATTCAAGCCGGCAAAATTCATGGTACCATCAGTGAACACATTGAACAATATAATATAAAAGTAAAGTTTGTAAATACTAGTACCATACTTCAAGTAGGCGATCGCATTGCTTATATTAACTGTCTTGATTTAATTATTTATTTATATGTATTAACATCAAAAGTTACTTTTTACAATTTTTCGGAGTAAAGTGATCGTGACACATTAAAGAGGCATATAACAACGTTAAAAAAAAAGTAATAGTAAATGTTCCTTATTCGCAAAAGGTGGGTTTTTTCTATTTGAAATGAGTTGGAAAAAATGAAAACGGAGAAACACATCATTTGACTCCAACACCCACGAAGCATGGGGAAAATCGTACACTTCGCCACGTGGAACAAAACCATTGAAGGGGACAAACACGGCACGCCCTATCAGATCAGTCTTCCTCACAAGTCACAATAATCAGGTGCGTCTCCAACCTGAAATAATCCTACAGATGAAATCTGGAGCCGTTGATTATGAAACAGACGACTCTAAATCCCGATAGCAACGACGAGATCATCAGAAACAAAAATCCGGCGAATCCCAAGGCTATGGCGATGTCTGATTGGATGCAAAACGCATTGTTAGCCGTACACGTGGCGATCCCTCTCAGCTGTCTCGCCAGTTCAGTCCCCGCCGAGTCCGCCGACAGCAACAAGTACGCAAAAACCTACAGAAGACGACACCGTTTTGTTGACTCAGTACTATCACCGTCTCCGTATGTCCACATCTGCGTGTGGTTTTGCAGATACAAACATTCTTTTGAAAATATATTCACACGAAACTTAGCGCCATTAATGGCTGCCAAAATTTGAATGTTCTAAATGAAGGTTTTCGAAAATTTCAGAAAAAAATTACATGAAACAATGAAATACCCAATTTGATGCAATTAATAATCAGTAATGAGAACCTGATCGTGGCCAAAATCAAACCAGACTTGACAGAATTCGGGAAAAATGGTGGAACCTCGAGAAATTTCCCAAACAGAAGCAACCATTTCGAACAATGAATATATAGCAACTATTCCATTTGCTGCAACAACGAACCTGTAAGGTTTTGCTACAGTTATTTCTAATTTTTTGAATTTGATGTATTGAATCTGTTGAATCGAAAAGGGGATGGTAAGAGGAAGTTTACCGGAAGGCACCGAAGTCGTACCAGCGAGGGGAAACGGACTTAGTGGCGGCGAGCATGAATACAGCGGCGGAAAGAGCAAAGCAAAAGGCAGCGAGACGGAATATGAAAATCAACGAATTGAAACGGCGGAGCTTGCGTTCGGAGAGGGTGGAGTGGAAATGGGGCGTGTCGTGTGGATGAGTCTGGTGGATTCGAGGTCGAGGAGACGGACTCTCAACACCGGCGGTCCGGGTCATTTTACTCTGTCGTCTGCTTCACCGTTCACGGCGGCGGTCGGCGATGCCACTACAAGTTCAAATCAATTATAGGTATGAAAAGGATGAATCATGAGAATGATTTCTATATTCTTCTGGAGATGTGGGTTGTTGCAGAGCTTAAATCAATCACGGGGGAAAGCATGATTTCCATGGGGAACATAAAAAATTATATGATGAAGAAAAAGAGAGAGAAAGAGAGGGTGTGTGTGAACTGTGAAGCGTGAAGTCTGTGAAGAAAAAGGAACAGAGATGATGATGATTGGTATGGAGTTCCTTTATTCTTTTTCTATATATTCTTTTCCTTTTTTAGAATTTATATTTTGGGATGCATCGTTAATTTAAGATTAAACTACAAATTTAGTCCCTATAGCTTATCGAAAATAACACTTTAGTCCCTATAGTTTGTCGAAAATAACACTTCAGTCTCTACAATACCCTGATTTTATGGAATTTTTTTAACGACCGTTGGAGAGTTGGACCAAATCTAAATGTTTTTATAAACCACAACGATCATCTTGTAATTTTAAATTTATTAGGTGAAAAAAATGTTATTTCCAATAAATCACAGGAACCAACTTTGTAATTTACTCAAAAATATATTATTATTTTAAGGGTTATCAAATAGTAGCATATTTTATTGAACATAAAGTCATGTATAGGCTTATTAAAATGGTAGTTTTTTTATTAGGCTCTTCATTGATTATATTTACTCAATAATTAATTTTCATCACATACTTTAAATAATAAAAATATATAATCATTCAGAATATTTTAACACGTAATCTCTCTACACCAAATAATACTAAATACCAAGAAGACCCACAAACATGTTCGATACCATTTTCAATTGATTGGTTTCTTTATATTTCTCATCCTCCATATTTGATATTTTTATAACTTATTTATTTTTATGAAAGCTACTTTCTTATATGGAGAATCATGTGAGATTAGACTGCTTTCGTGAGACTTGTGGGACTTTTTTTTACACTTGTGAAATAACCTTCACAATGTTTCAGATGTGAATGTTTGAATTTTTTTACCTTTACAATATTTTGCTGTGAAGTTTCAACTATAAAATATGGTCTCACATGAACCCAACCCTATATATATATAGGTGGAGGTTCAAATGAGAACACCTATATTTTACGGAAAACGTGAGAAGGTCGAGTTTTCGGGACATTTATTATTAATTGCACAAAATTAATGAACTTTTAGAGACATGAAAGACGGATTAGCCAGGCAGTTCGAAGATCATGGCCCCAAAAGAGGTAAGATTTCATGAGTCTCATTCTTTTTTTTTAAGTATATAATATTTATATACAACAAATACAACAAATAAATTCATACACTTTACTTACCTTTGGTGAGGTTTGAACCCATGACCTCCTAGGAGGACAAAGACTACGATACCGCTAGACCAAATATCCTTTAGTTATGTAGTCTCATCCTTTAGGGTAGAGATGGCCAAATGGGCCCGGCCCGGCCCGTAACCGACGGAGGACCGGGACCGGTAGGGACCGGTTGAGGGACCGCCGGTTATGAACCGGTTAGGGTTTTTGACGTTTTTTGGGACCGGGACCGGTTAAGACCAGGACCGGTTATAGGCCCGGTCAACGAAAGTCAACGAAACGTATATATATAATAAACCGTATTTTTATTGTGTATTTTTAAACGTATTTACAACAAAACGTATTTATAAACGTATATATATATATATATATTACAAAACGTCTTTATAAACGTATATATATATAACAAAACGTATTTATAAACGTGTATATATATATATTATATATATATATTATATATATATATAACAAAACGTATTTATAGTAAAATGTATTTATAATAAAACATATTCAAAATATCATATTACAAACATATTAATAACATATTAAAAATTTATTAATAACCAAAAGTTTAAAAAAAATCATTTTTTTTTTTTGAATAGGCCCGGTCGGGACCGGTTATGGGACTGGGACGGGGACCGGTTGGGACAACCGGTTACTAATAACCTTGACCGGTTACAAGGAAAATCACCGGGACCGGTTATGTCGGGACCGGTTACCGCCGGTTTTTGTCGCGATTAGGCCCGGTAGGGACCGGTTAAGGCCCGGCCCGGGACCGAATTTTGGCCACCTCTACTTTAGGGTGCGTTTGGTACCCAACTCAACTAGATGGGCAAGAATGAGTTAGATGAGTGAAAGAATTGTCAAAGGTATTAAAGTTATAATTTGACATGGATAATTTAGTAATTTATGTTCCACCTATTTTGGTGGAAGGAAAAAAACCAATTTTGTCTCACTCAGTCCTGTTTTGTCCTAATCTAAAGTCGCACCAAACATGAGACAACAAATTCCTTTATATCATGTACCACCTACCAAATGCACCCTTACGACTAATTTTGAGTTCAGTTACGAGACAAGGCTCTATATCCAACTTTGATCCGCTTATTCATGCAAAGAAGAAAACCGGCTAGCGAATTGGAGACGTTTCTCGACACCGTAACCCAAAAAAGGAATTTCTTGGAGTTGCAAATGTTGCAAAAACTTGAACCTTTGGAGGATGATTAAGGGACCAAAATGAGTGACCGGTTAGCCGTTTGCGATCAAGTAAACTTGATGGTTCGGCTCAATTGGGTTCATGAATGCAAGTAACCAAGAGGGTTCATGGATCAAATATCCAACCTGTAGCCATGAATAATCATTATATTGAGTAAATGAATTTTATTTATAAATTTTCTTTGGGTATTTAATGTAGGCTTTCCTTCCATCTCTACCCACTTTTTTCTATATATTTATGTATAGGTTATTTAAAATACATGTTGGAGGACATTATTGTGTTTAGGAGTGAAGATCATTTTCTGTTAATACACCAAAAGGTGTTCCATTAAACTAACACATTGTTTTCAAAACAGTATCTTATAGCCATCATCCAAACCTACCATAATGCAAAAGAAAATTAGGGTTCTTAGATTCATGCCAAATCAAACTTCCAAGATAAAATTGTTATATCATAATCACTCAACAATATGTGTGATGGGGTCGAAATCAAATAGAAGTAACCACTAAAAAATGAGCTTAATTTGCCGAGATTAGTCCAAACATAGCCTGAGACATGCTTCCAAAATAAAAATAAATGAAAAATGAAAAAATAAGCTTGGTCATGGAGAAGGTGGAGATACATTAGCTTTTGCAAATCCTATCCAGACCACAATGGTTGCTGCAAGAATTACCCATCCAAATATATCATACTTCAGATCACTATTCTTCTGTGACTTCAGACCCTGCAACAATTTTGATACCAAAATGAATCTACATCAACAAGTGGAATGACATTTTTGTTCATCCAGAGGAGATACTCGATCAGTCGGTATTGGACCATCTTTAGCAGCAATAGCAATTTGGAGTGGAATTCAATTCCAAATCCCGCAAACCAAACGGGCCCTTAGTCTTCATTGATGTATAACAGATGTCATTTCTATTCCATCTCTTTATATTTCTTTTTTATGTATTGAGAGTTCCACAATCATCATATAATAATCCAGGGAGAAGTATTATTATTCAGAGCAACACAACTATGGGAAAAAGAATGCAAGCACATAAAGTAGAAGAAAGCAGGAGATAATACCTTGGCATTGGAAGATGTTGATGAACCTGCTCCAGCCCCGGAGGCCATAACTTGTTGATTGAACCCTTGTTTATGAAGCTCTGCGTGTAATTCAGGAGCCTGAAATTGCAATAATCTTTCTACTTCAGAAGCTAAGGGCCTATTTGTTAGCAACTTAATGGGACTCATAGCTTATTTGGTCAACTATATATGATTGTTTGGTAGTGGCTTAATGATATAGAAAGTGGCTTATTCAGTAAGCCTCTAGGGGGCTTTATGCATAAAGCCAAGTTTTTTTTCTGACCCTCCCAATCAAAAAACAAGCTCCTTTGATCTACGAAAAAACCCTACCAAACAAAAATCTTCCTAATCTATACAGCCAACTTTATTCATACAGGACTTGATATAAAACCAACCATAAAGCCCCTAAGACAAATATAATAAATTCATCGCCGCACAAAGCAACAGTCATTTCAACTGTGGAACCTTTTCAGCAACAAACCAGCAGATAGAGTCTCCTTAACCTTGAAAGCAAATGCATATTTCTTTTTTCCCAGAGAATCATATATAGAAGTCCTAAACCCCATTTCATGTTCCATAAGGTACTGCTTTATTCCCCGAAAAGGGACCATCATCAATGCCATAAAGTCATGATTATAAAATTATCATAATTATATTATGACATGTCTCAAACAATATAATAGGACAGTCATGTTGGATATGGAGCTTAAGGATAGCGTAGTGGAAGTGAATAGATGTACTGATGTAGTGACAGGATCATGGCGCTTCAAGTAGTAATAGGAGAGGAGATAGATGATGCCATATGTGCATATGCATATGCAGCACAAGCAAGATTCAAGGAGTAAAAAAAGAAGAGCTTTTGAGACAACCATAAATTCATGTTTATATGAGCTCATGGATATATATATATATATACATATATATATGTATGTATATGCTGAATAAAAGACATTCCTTAAAAGTAACTTGGCATATCAAAATTTCTGGTTTTGCAATAAGCATCATAATCACACTACAATGAAACCAAAAAATCCCTCATTTGGCTGAGAGTGGACAGCCATGAATAGAAACATACCTTTGAAGCGACTTCGAATGATTTGTGATAAAGTTCATTCCCTGGATCCTGCAACAGACATAATTAATCCATTTACTCTGCTAACACCAAAAGGAAAAGCTTACATACATGAATGGTGCACAACTCATAGTCATTATACATCCATGATAGTATAAGCAAATAAAGATAAAGCTAATGATGAGATATGACCAGTAATTGCCATCTCATGAAATTGAATTTCACAATCCAATGTAGAAGTAAAACTTGCCTCATCAATTGCCTTCTGAAAGTAAGTATGAGCCGCATCAAAATAGCCTTTAGCTTCATCTCTATCAGGAGTCAGAAAGGCATAAGAAGTTTGAGCATTACCCATGCACCACAATGCGTCATGTCTCTTTGGGTCAATCAACAATGCTTCATCCAATTTCGAGATAGCATCTGTAGAAATCAAATTTAAACAAACCAAAACGAATTGAAATCAAACCCCTAGCAAAAACATTCATTCATTCCCTAAATATTAGCTTGTTTCGTTCTACCCCATCTCTAGTAAAGCACATTACGAAATCGACTCCAGAACATAAATCCACGCATTCGCATCATAAAATCGGTCATTACCTTTTATCATAGATTTCGACTCCTCAATACTCTGGAATGAAGACAATTCAAGCAAAGCCCCTCCCCATCTCGTTAGGTTCTATGCCAATCAAGGAACAAGAAGAAAACTCACAATTCAGACAATTGTATAGAATAAATACCAGAAGATCATGCATACATAGAAACAAACAGATACATTTCACACGATGTGTCCAAATTCTAACCTCGGCGTTGTGAGGGTTTTTGGCGTAGGTGGCTTCAGCGCTCCGCCGAGCATGCTCGAAAAGTACAAGGCGATCGAAGTCCATTTGCATTTCCATCGTTCTCGTCAAATTTCTCCTTTTGGCATCGATTTGAGAAGGTTTTTGTTTTGGTGCGTGACTTTTGGTTATAAATAACGATAAATCAAATAAAACAATAAAGAGTTAATTGAATTTATTTTAGGTTAATTTTTATTTTTATGTAAAATAACATATTTTATTTTATCAATCGATGAATTTTAATTATCTATACTATATTATAAAATAGTTGACAAAAAACTCTTAAAAACTATTTTTTATACATGAAATACTATTTATTGATGCATATTACTTAAAATTCAAGATTACAAGTAAATTATTCATAAGTACAACTTATTAAAGCTCCATGTTTGAATTCATGTAATAACAACGGATAAATATAATCAAATAGAGGATAAACATCTCATTTTAAAATTTTAAAATTCTAAAATATAATTAAGATAAATATCAAGTTCTAACAAAATAATTAATTATTATTCTTATAATAATTATATATTATTAAATCAAATATAAATTACTTCATTATTGAACTTAAATTAAATTATAATAAAAAAATTACACAAAATATGAGGAATTATAAATAGTTTTCTATGCTATATTATAAAGCATTTGACAAAAATTCTTAAAAATCATTTTTTATACATGAAGTACTGTTTATTGATGCACGGTACTTAAAATCCAAGATTTTAAGTAAATTATTTATAAGTACAACTTATTAAAGTTCCATGTTTGAATTCGTGTAACCAACTGCGGATAAATACAATTAAATAGAGAATAAACATCTCATTTTAAAATATAAAAAATCTAAAATATAATTAGGATAATTATCAAGTTCTAACAAAATAATTAATTATTATCTTTATAAGAAAATTATATTATTAAATCAAATATAAATTATTTCGTTATTGAACCTAAATTAAATTATAATAAAAAAATTGAATTAAAAATTACACAAAATATGAGGAATTTTAAATACTTAATTTGATACTAATATCGATATATTTTTGTCAAATTTTTACGATATCTTCAAATTTATATTTTATTCAAAATTAAAAACATCATCGTTTTTTCAAAATAACATAAGACCATATTATAATATTGACTGAGATAAAAAATAAAATATTAAAATTAAGATGTATTTCGATGCATTGCACGAGTACCTTTCTAGTTATTATTAAATTATAATTTGATATCAAACTAGTTGTAATTATCTCGTGTGTTAGTAAAAATGGACCAAAATTTGGTTATAGAATAACAAAAGTTAAAATGCACTATTATTTTATACAAAAGCAGAATACATTATACATAAAAAGAGGTAAGGTCATTCATACTGTTTATTTCTTTTTAATTTTTCAGAGGTACTTATATCTTATTATTCTCTTATCTGGTAAAAGGTAAACTAACATTTTATTTGCCTCTTATTGTTCTTGAAACTTTTAACAACAACATTTATCAATCGATTAACCTTAATCGATCATTAATCTCAATTGATCATTACCAAATCGATCCTTACATCTTTAAATTGGCGTATTCTTAATCGGATTTAAATGTGTTAAATACCGTTAATGATATATTTTAAGTTTAAATAAATGCTAATTATATATAATTTAAATATAAATTTCGTAATGATGGCGAATAAATATGTAAAATTGTATAAATTTATATATATATTCAACATTATAAATTTTCTAATAGGTAAAACAGACAATTTAAACAAATTCAAGCATTTATCAGTTTACAAAAACAAACAATGTTATTATTTTAAAATTCAGATTTCAGCATCTCTTAAAAAATAAACATCAATTAAATATAAATAAATATTGATCTTATTTCAAAAAAATAAATGGTGTAAGAAAACAACATAAAGATTTCTACACATTTGCTTTATCGAAAAGTCCATCGTCTAGGGTTGTCTTCTTTAATAAAACAAGAAAACCAAATAAATAATGATATTATGTTGACTGCAACGTTCAATCAAGAAACAAACGTATATGACTACATTACAAAAGTGGAGCACTAACCTTTAAAAATTCAACAGTGACCTTGTACTATCAAGATTAACCCTATCAAATGTTCAACAATTTCCAAACCGATTATTAGCACCGGCCAAATCGGCACGGCCTGGTCCGGGACCGGTAAGGATTGGTTATGGGACTGAAAATCGGGACCGGTTTGAGTTTTTGATAGAAGTTTTGAAACCTTGATCACTTTTATTTCCAAAACAACTCATAAAATCTATATATATATTAAAGAAGAAACCACTATGTATGATGTGGCCTCTTCTAAAAGCTAGGAGCTTATTTATTTTTTTTCTTTTTTTTAAAATACTAATTAAGTTAAAGACTATTATACCCCTACAAGCAAATTGTATATTTCATAATAGATAAGATCATTTGGTAATTTTGCATCCAACTAAGTTTAACCTCCCAAATTATTCATCTTTTTAATAAGCATTTAAGATAAGTTTAACCCCCTAGACTATTCAACTTCTTCTTAATAGACATTTATTTTATTTATTATTGCAATTGATTTACCTTCTCCAACTTTTTATCTTTTCATCTCTTTATTTCTCAATCTCTTCCTCTT